ATGATTTAATAAAAGGTGCACGTTTTATTTCTTTATTTTGATAATGATAATAAGCGTAATTCTTTTTAATCGTAGTATCGCAAGGTTAGAATTCTACCGGGCACGATAATCTTAAATGCGGCCCTGGTTGTGATGTGTTCGGAAGTTAAGTTTGTAAAATTACGATGTGCTAATTAAAATTTATTTTATGAGATCGGAATCAAAGTTCGGTAAAACTAACTGTTCTCATTTGAAACAAAATATCGAGTGTCGGTTTTTATTTATATAAACTAATTTTTACAGTAAGTTATTAATATAATCTGTATAATTCCCCCAAAAAATTTAAAAAGCGTTTATTTATACCTAAGATATGAATGGTCATGCTTCGGCGATTTTATGCATTAAATTTTAAATATATCTTTATATAAAATTTCATTTTAAATAGAGAGTAAAATTTGTAGCATATTTAACTGATATAAACTTAAAATTATGTGATGTAGAAATTCTTTTTATATATTGGTAAAATAAAATAAAAAACACAAACAAAACAAATTAAATCTTACTAGATTGCTCTTGTAATTATAAATATAATTATAAATATAAATAAACTCTACTAAATATAAAAAAACCCAATTAAATTTATTATTATGTAAAAGGAAAAAAAATCGTTATCTACATCATCAACAATAAAAATCAAACAATCAAACAAATAAAACATCATCAACAATAAAAATCAATAATCAAACAATTAAAAGCTGTAAGGAATATAAGATAAAAAAGGAATAAACAACATAGTGAAAAATGAAATTAATTAACCATAAATAAAAAAATAGATAAACAAAAAATGATAAGTAAATGGAGATTTAATTGGTTTAAATAAATTAAAAAGATAACAAAAAACGACCGTAACTGGCCTAAGCTCCGTGTCAAAAAACGCACAAAAGAACACTAACATATCTTGCGAAATATGATTTAGAGATAAGCATTTTAATTGTTAAGTTATTCAAAATGTTGAAAGTAAAATATTTAGCAATACTGTTTGCAGTTATGGCTATTTTATGTTGTTATTATTTTTTTCATATGGATTATCTAAATATCCGAAGTAAAAAAAAACATAAAACAGAAGCTGACAAAAAATCTCTGGTTAACAATGCAAAATTTTCAGAAGAATGGTATACTAGTTCTCTGCTTGACACAAATGATGACGATAGATTTCACGTTGTCACTTATTTTGCTTTAGTAACAAATAAGATTCATAATAGTAATTTGCGATATCAGGGCAAGAAATTACCTTCTACAGCCCAATTAAATGAAAGACAGCAAGAGATTGAAAACACTTTGCAACGCAACTTAAATAACAGTTTAATAACCAAGGTACACGTTTTATTTTATTACTTTGATATTGCGCAATATTTGCGTAATCTTAGTTTAAAAAATTCGGATAAACTTGTTTTGCATTTTACTTGTAAAGATCCGACGGTAAGATCAATCTTTGACTACATCCAAAAATTTTTAATCAAAAAGTTAGTCATAGTAATGCATATGGACATATCGATTGGCAGAGGATTTTATGACATCAATAAAGACAAATTAAAGGGCAAAATAATGTACGCATTAACACGTCATTCTATTTCAAATGATACCCATTGCAATGCAGCAACTTATGGAACTTGTAGTTTTAATTCGAGATACATTGGTTCCCATGATGCTTTTATATTCTACGCAAATAATTATTTTAATGATAGTATGCTTAATGAATTAGACACATTTAAACCAATTAATGCTGGAAGTGAAAATATTTTAATTTGGTTATTTCAACATTCAATGGGTTATAAAGTTTTAAATCCATGTCGAAAGCTTGTTGTTTATCACCAACATTGTGTACCAATTAGATCGATAGAACGTCGTCGGGTTAATGTAAAAGCTAGAAGTGGATACGCTCCATTTACTAATAAATTATTTTAAGTATAGGTAGACTATACTTAAGTAGACTAAAGTAAAAATATTTGCTGACTACAGTAAAAATTTGTAAGGGACTATAACATTAAGCTAAAAACTTTCATTTTTTTTATTGTTATTGTTTGATATTTTACGAGACATTGTTAACCGTTAAGAGACAGTTTGTTTTTAAAACGATATAGCGCTCTAACCTAACCTCTAAATGTATATATATATATATATATATATATATATATATATATATATATATATATATATATATATATATATATATATATATATATATATATACATATATATATAAAAGTATATACATATATATATATATATATATATATATATATATATATATATATATATATATATATATATATATAAATATATATATATATATATATATATATATATATATATACATACATGTCAGGCGCGGATTTAGAGGGGGGCACAGCCGGCTCGTGCCCCCCCCCTAAAATTTGATTAATTTTTTATTTATAATTATGTCGATCCATTCTCAGGTCAGATATTCACTCTATAAAAGATATTCACTCTATAAATGTTGAGAATTGAAAGTGTTATATATATATATATATATATATATATATATATATATATATATATATATATATATATATATATATATATATATATATATATATATATATTAGGGCTGTACCGGATTTAATTTTTTCAAATCCGGCCGGAGCCGGATTTGCCGGATTTCTACTGACAGATCCGGCCGGAATCGGAGCCGGAGCCGGATTTCAAAACAAAACTACAGGAGCCAAAATCCTGTACATCCCTAATTGGTGTTGAGCATGGTCAACAATGTGGACTATTCAGAATACCAAGTGACTGCTGTTTTCTGTTAAACTTCATTGTTGTTATTTAAAAAGTTTTATAGCAATTTCTATATATAAATTAATAGAAATTCTAAAGAAATTCTATAGCCCATATGTTTTAAAAGTTTATAGTAATTCTATTGAACTTTTTTTCCGAGATTTTATTACTCCGCCACTGTAGTGGATCATTGTGTCTATTTATTTCTGGTTCTTTCGGATATTTCCTTAGCTGAGTTTCAATGCCTTTTAGTAATTGTTGTTTATGTGCCCTGCCACCAGCGGACGTAGACTGAATAATTTTATCAATAAATTGCCAGAGTAATGATGATGATGATGTAAAAAAATTATTAAGCCCGGCTTATTTTGGTGGATTTTCTTCAGTTTTGTCAATCTTCTGTTCAGCATGCTTAGATTGACTTCAATCTTGTTTTTTCAGCTGTCAGTGTTGCCTGTAATGAGAAGAATTTAGTTTTAAATTGTGAGTCAACCAGCCTCGTCAGTATATAAAGAAGTTTCTCTTTTCAATGCTTTTAAAACGCTCATCCAATCACTTGAATAGGGTTGACATCATAGTCTTTATACCTGCATCATTCTAGAATATCGTGTGTCTTCCCTTCAGAATTTTTTGTTGCGTTGTTGTTTTAAATTAGACTTAGCTTATTAAATTATAAAGAAATATAAATACAAATACCAAAACAAGTATGAGGTTCATAAAATATAGAATTACAAAAATAATTGATTTTTATAAATAAAATATTAGGTATACATGTAAACACGGGTAAAAAAAATGTAATAAATATTTGACAAAGTTCAAAACTCCGGCTAAAATTATGCCGGATTTGCTAAATTTTTGCCGGAGCCGGATTTGGGCCGGATTTTTAAAAATGGCCGGATTTCGGCCGGAGCTGGAGCCGGAGCCGAAATCCGGTACAGCCCTAATATATATATATATATTATTCACAGTGTATAGGAAGACGCTCTGAGACCTTGCAACACATTTCCAGAAATTTTTTTTTTGTTTATTATCAGAAGATTCTTACTTATTTCAAAAATGTAACTAACAACTTTTTTCACCGGGGATCTTGGAAAAATCACGTATTTTAAGCAAATGCCAAGTAATTTTGTTATTCAAGATAGGTAAATAAAAGCTATGTGGCATACTCAAATTTGTGGATTTTATATTATATTAATATATGATTATATCTGACATGCAAAATATAAATAATAATTTAACCAAATAGGCCAGAATTTTTTTTTTACGGCTATAAAGAAGTTGTAGTTAACCTTATTGGACCCCTAATACCCCATCCCTAGTGTATGGTTCCTTAATAAAATTTTTACCATTACAATTATAAATCATCCTTGCAGCTCATCAAAATTATCAGCATTGCTGTCATTGAATCCATCGTCATTGAGGTTATATGTACACTCAGTCGTTGAAATTTGTACAACGATTCTCGAAAGATTGCTTTATTAGAGACTTTTCCCTGTAGAATCTTCTTCTTGGTTGTCAATTTTGTAAGTTTTTTTGCCATTTTTGCTTTTTTTGCATCTGCAAGTGCTTCTTTTTCCGAGGTTTCTTTGGCTAATACTCGATCTACTCTTACGTCGTCTTCAATTATTAACGTTTGATTTCCGTGGTGCAGCCTTTGGATATGGATGAGTTTGTTGTGAGGTAACATGGGAATGAATAGAGATGCGTTACTTTGATAAAGTTGCGACTTCATTGCAGTGGATCCATTCGGAATTCCGTCTCGACGGATTTTTTTCGGTTTTTCGGAGTTTCGGAGTTCGAGACAAATCGAGAAACTTCGACGAAACTTCGACGAAGTTTTTAGAAAATACCAATTTTTTATTCGTAAAATAATTGAATTCTTATTTTATTTCTACGTGGTTTTTACAATTGTAAATTGTAATTTTAAAAATTGTTTCAAATGTAAGTGTTCTCTTCGTTTAATAACAACACTAATATACATCGCAAAGCAATTGGTAATGCACAGTGGGCCAGGTGATGATGGTGAAAAAAACCTCAAAAAAAGTTTATTCTATTCAAAACCATATATTAAAACATGCTCATACTTTTCCATTGTACTATTTCAAAAACTCTTTTGTGTATATTAGTATCTTTTTAGTATTAGTATTTTTTTAAATCCACAAAAATCAATTGCGGTATAATAAAATGTAATGCATAATAAAAAGCAAGAATTTTTTAATTTTTAAGCAAAGATATAATAAACAGTAACTTTTAAAATATTATGCGAATGTGATATTAGTTTATATATTTTAACTACTCAATAGTTTACCTTTACAAAAAAAAAGTTTAGTCAAGATCATTATTTATAATATAAACAAAGACTGGTCGTAAAATAACGAGGTAAGTTTTTAAGATATAAAACATATAAAACTTTCATTTTATACAAGTAGTGTCGTATTTTGTATGATCAAAATAATTTTGTCCACCATAAGTCTAAAATCCGGCCCACTGAGCATTGTGGCAAAATTGTGCAATAAAATGTTATCAGTGAAAATAAATAATAATAATAATTAATGTTTAATTATACTTACCTATCAGAATAAATAACTTAATAACTTAAAATGTGATAACTTTTCACAATTAAAATAATATTAAAAACAAATATGGGAGGTCATTATCAAATTGATAATTTTTCTTTCATAGAAAAAAATGGTTTCGGAAGCGTGGAAGTACTTTAATAAAGTTGTGGTAAATGATAAGAAGTATGGAGATTGCAAAAAATGTCATAAAAGAATCGCTTGTCTAGGAAGCAGCACAAACGGCCTTATTGGACACGTCAAAAGTTGCGAGAAAATAGATTTGAAACCATTCAGTTCCAGACCAGTTTTGACTAAAATGTCATTAAACGATCTTCTTGCCAAGTTGACAGCTCTTGATGGGTATTCGATTAGGTCCATAACTCAATCTGAAACACTAAGAATGCTTTTTGAAAATTACGGGCATAGTTTGCCTAAGTCAGCGTCCGCAATTTCAGAAAAAATTAAGATGTTTCATGCTGAAGCCAAATACTTAATGATCGCTGAATTGGCTGCATTGAAAGCAAAAGGAGAAAAATTTGGACTAACAGGTGACGAATGGTGTAGCAATAGAGGTAGAAGATACTACAATTTAAATGTTCATCACGACAGAACGTATTTTTTAGGAATGATGAGATTGCCATCTCCTAATTCTGCTGAAACATTAAACATTTTGATAATGGAAAAATTAAAAGAATTTGGTATAGATAGTGAAGATATTGCAGGTAAAACTACGGATGGCTGTAGTTAGATGGTGAAATTGGGTACCATATTTAAGTTTCCACATCAGATCTGCCAGAATCATTCAATTCATTTGAGTGTTTGTGATTTGATATACGCTAAAAAAGATTGTCGCAAAATTGTGAACAAAGAAACTGAATCGATTATTGAAACAGAAACAGAAACTGATGGAGAGTCTGAAGGAGAGTTTCTTATTGAATATTCGGAGAATGAGATTGAGTATGAAGAAAATATCGAAAAAAATCTACAGAAACTTCGAATACTAATTAAGTTTTTGAAATATTCATCGTTTCGATATGAAGTTCTTAAAAGAAAAATACACGAAATATACGGATCTTCGCATGACAAAGGACTGTTGTTCGACAACCGAACAAGATGGAACAGTGTTTTTAAGATGATTAAAAGATTTCTGGATTGCTTAGAAGCTGTAAAAAAAACACTCGAAAAGCTAAACTGCTTAAACATGTTAGCTGAAATTGACTTGGATTTCTTAAAATCGCTGTCTGACTTATTGGAAGTCGTTGCTGACGCTGCAGTTCGCTTGGAAAAACCAAATACAACAATTTTGGAGTGTGACATTATTATGGAAACGTTAGTAAGGAAATTGAAGGTTGCAGAAACTGACATCAGTTCTAATTTTGCAGAGACCTTAATCTCCAGATATGAAGATCGTAAAAACGTTATGTTGGTATCATTGAGTCGTTATTTGCACAATCCCGATTTTTTTAAAAATAAAAACCACACATTTTTTTACGCTTCCAAAAAGGATATTCAAATTTATGCTTCAAAATTATTTGATCAACTATTTGCAACAAAAGAAAATAGTCTCCAATCAAAATCAGATGATCACGCTAAAAACAAACAAGAAGAACCATCACAATCGACATCTTTTTTCTCCGAAATTCAAGAAGTTCTAATTCAAAATCAATCAGCAGCTAAAAAACCAAAAAAAGTCAAGACCTTCACCGATCAGTTGAAAGAATATGAAATATACTGGTGTGAAATCAGAAACAGTTTTAAAATTTGAACTAGCCATCCACAGAATTCCGCGGTGCTCTGTGATAAGACCGTAAGGACTTCTTGGGGCACCTATTTGAAAAAAAAAAAAAAATTCAAGCAACTTCCTCGGAAGCAGAAAGAGTTTTCTCCTCGTCTTCCAGATTTGTCACAAAGTTTCGTAGTTCGCTTTCTGATGAAATGATAGATGTTTTGATCTTTTTAAAATATTATTTAAAAAGATCTTCAGTATAAATACTTTTTTTTTCAATTTTTTTTTTTAATTTTTACTATAGGTGCCCCAACAAGTCTTTATTGCATAGCAACGCAGAAGGGCATTTAACTGAAAGTTCACGCCTTCTTCCTAACCGATGCCGGTTAGAAAGCCAATTATTAGATATAACTTGTTCGTTAAAAAATTGTGATAAAAAAAATATTTATGTACTAAGAAATATAAAAATATAAATTTTTTAAAATTTTATTATGAATTATAAATCGAAATATTTAAAATTAAAAAATAAAAATACAAGAACAATGTTTAATTATCAAATAGAGAGTTTAATTTTTTTATCAAATAGATAGTTTAATTTTTATAACAAAATATTATCGAAACTCCGATTTTTTCTCGACTCCGACGGAGTTTTTTCTCGATTTCTCTCGACTCCGTTTTTTCTCGATTTTGGATCCTTTGCGTCATTGTTACAAGATATTTCTGATAAATTAGAAAAAGTTGATTGCATCCTCATGTTATGACTATGAGAAACTAGATGAGAAACTCAGTTGCATTTCAATATGAGTACTATTAGCAGTTGTAGTTACTCGCATTAGTTCAACATTATCCTCATCACCTAACGGAGCTATTGCTAGCGGTTGGCCATTTAGTGAAAATGATACACATTGATCAACGCTGTTGTTGATGTTATAGGACTATTTAATTGAGAAATTTTCAAAACTTTTACAATTATCAGTAGAGAATTGTAATTTTTATTTTATTAAAGCATAGAAGAAGACAACTTTAGACAATCTGAAGTCTCGCTATAAGTAATATATTGAAAAATCAAAGGAATTGTTACAAACTCATATATAGATTACAAATACTTACATTCCCAACGTCCACAGGTAACCGTTTGTTCTAAAAAAAAAATTGCACCAACTCACCAATTGCACTCTAAAAAAAAAACTCTGGCAGAGTTCATAACTAAAATCTGAATGATTCACTTGGAATTGAAAATTTTACATCAAAGAACCAAAAAATTGTTTTTTTACTCTAAAATCAGTTTTTTAGCGGAAACTGTCACCTAACTATTTTAAAGCAAAGAGCGTATGCCTACCAACATATCGACAATAGACAACATTTTCCTAATGTTAACAGGGTAGGAGATTTCAAAGTGTCCATTCTCTCCCTGTGTACAAAGTCTCCCCGGTCTCTCCTATATTTTAAATTTATATATATTTTAAATATATATATTTTTAACGTATATTTTTGAGTTTTAAATAGGAAAATAAGGGAACCTGTTGTACCTTCGACTACGTTGTACCTTTGATCACTCTACCCTGTCGGCATACTATTACTATTTAAAAAAACGTGAAATTCTATTTAAAATAATAGTCCATGACAACTCTTCTTACCGTAAAAGATCATAATTGGGATGGATTAATTCACGAGAAATTATAAGTTTTGGCTCTTAAAAAATAAATATTTGAGTCAATCTTATTTTGATTTTAAAACTGTCAAAAAATGTTGCTTGATTCATCTACGACATTATAAACATTACCTAACATCTTTTTTTCTTTTTATGCCAAAGTTTGGATGATTATTTTTTACCGTAAATAGTGATTAAGACAATAGTTGTTAAAAAAATCAATGTCGTGTACGTTTGACCATACTAGGACGTTGTACCTTTGACCGGAAAAATTTTTTCCTTCTGTTATTTGCAAACTTTAAGAAGCCAAATCTATGTAATTTATTATCGAGTTCATTGGACAACCATTAAAAGGATCCACCAAAAATAGGTTTCGCAATTTGAGAAAAACGCAGACCTAGACAGATTTTTATAAAACTAACGCATGCTCGGTTTTTGTTACATCTTTCCAGATTGAATATTTTATATGGTCAGCCGAGAACCAAGAGGCTGTTTTTATAGACTTATTTTTACAGTTTTTTGGGAGAAACTTATTTTCGTGCCTGCATTTAGAAATCAATTCCGATTTTTTGTTTAACAAACATTCTTGATTTGCATGTGTAATCATTTGAAATTTTTCTTGTAGACATGTATGCATTTTTTGGAAATATTGTTGTATGCAGGCGCTGTTTTAAGGATGGACCAATTTAGTATAAAATCATCAATATTTTTATTTTTTAGTTCCTATATATATTTTGACAGCATGGTGTCTTTTGAATACTTTTTATTTTTAAAAGATTGCTTATGATTGGCAAAACGTTTTTTCCATTCACCCTCTGTTATGCCAATATATTGTTTATCGGGTACATTCTTAGAGGAAACAACACATTTATACTCAACATTTTTTGATAAACAACTTCCACTCATTGGACAATTGTTTTTTTGTTTACAATTACAATTTTCTGTAGTTTTTTCATTTAGGATTTCTTTTTTTATTTAACAAAGCAATATTGTGACTTTTTATAATTCTTTCCAAATTTTTTGTGCAACTGTAGCTAACTTTAATTGTATTTCGATTAAAAATTTTATCTAATTTATTAGAGGGAGGGAAATGCTTATCGACCAATTTTAAAAACACTTTTCCTATGCTAGTGGAAACATTTTTGCTATATGGGGGTTGAACCAAATTACATTTCTAGTTCTATTCCGTTTTTTTGTATTCTTTTTTTCAGGGTCCAATTTTAGTTCAAAATTTTCAAAAACCACTTTTTTTATGGGCATCTTCAAATATTCGTTTGGAGGAATTAAATACATTTTTATTAGAGGAGTTTTGGTTTAACCTGTTATTAATTGAAATCGGGATTTGTTTTAGAATTTGTTGTGGATGATTTGAGTTAATATTAATATACAATAATTCGTCGTTTGGCTTTTTGAAAGGCTTATATGAATTTTCAGAGAGGTTAAACGTGACATAAAGAAAGATCACAATTTTTAAGTTTATGTTTATTTCGATTTGAAAGCCAATATTTTTAAAAATTTTTACAATATCTTTTCGAGTCTTATCGAGCTGTGGACCAGATTTTTTACGCATTATTATTAAACCATCGTCGCGACAAAAAATTATTAACATTTGAGTATTTTTTTTTTTTTTTTTTTTTGTGGTGAAAGGACGTGTTTCTGCAGCGTGGTTATTTTGAAATTTGAAATTTGAAAAAAAAAAACTTTTTTTGATTGTTTGGAATTATTTAAATAAACATATATAAATAAATATATATTTTTATATATTAACATATTGGTTAATTATGGCTATTACAATGGATCAAGTAAAAAAAAAGGTAGAATTTAAGAACGAAATAGACGAAATGATGAAGCAGCAGAAAAAAAACGTGTTAAATATTTTAAGCGCCAACACAAAAATTATATATGATAGGTTAGATAAAGAAGATCTAAAGGTTAATGATTATGCAAAACATATGAAGACATTAGAAAAAGACGTAGAAGAAATCAAACGAAGCTTAAACTTTCACGAACATCGTTTTGAAGAAAAAATTAAGACCGCAATTGCTTCTTAGGAAAAAAAACATACATCTGGCATTGATAAGCTTAATCATAGTTCCGACTATGTTAAAATAAAAAGTAAACTAAGAGAGATGGAGGATAGATCTCGCAGAAAAAATTTAAGGGTTGACGGATTAAAAGAAAGCGAAGGTCAAACGTGGATTGACAGCGAATTAAAAGTCAGTAAAGTTTTTGAAGAGCGTTTGGGATTAACAAATATTTGGATTGAAAGAGCTCATAGAACTGGCCAGAGAGATATGAGCAAACCAAGAACAATTGTAGTAAAACTGTTAGATTATAAAGATAAAGTTGAAATTTTAAAAAAAACATCTCAATTAAAAGGTAAAAATATTTATATTCACGAAGACTTTTGCGCCGAAATTGTCACAATTAGGAAAGCTCTACAGATGAAGGTTGAACGAGCGACTGGGAAATATGTATTTATCTCTTACGATAAGTTGGTTATCCGGGATTGGGCTGCAAATAAAAGTAAAAATTTTTTCTTTGTAACATATTTATATATTCTACAATTTTATTTTACTTTTTTTGTATATTACTTTGTTTAGGCCAATTTTGGTGATTTTAACTTAAATTTACAAAATTATGCTTCAAATACAAATGTTCAACATTTTCTAGATACTTTTATAGAATATAACCTAATACCAACAATAAATAAGTCAACAAGAATAACTAAGACCTCATCGTCACTACTTGATAATATAATTACTAACAATTTTCAAAACTGCCGTTTAGGAACAGGCATAATTAAAACTGATTTAACTGATCACTTTCCAATATTCTTAATTACTGATAACATAACCCAAAATAATGTCCCTTCAAACACTACAATCTTAACACGACAGATCAATGAAAACTCCTTATTGTATTTTCGAACTCTTTTAACAAAAAATATCGATTTGAATGTTATTTTACAATCCCATGAAGTCAATACTGCATGTGAGCTATTTTTAGCGCAGTTCTGTAAACAGTATGACGTAGCGTTTCCTGTTAAAAAAATTGTTATAAAATTCAAGTCTCTTTTAAACCCCTGGATGACCAAGGAATTAATAAAATCATCAAAAAAAAACAAAAAAACTTTATGATAAATATTTAAGACATAAAACATATAAAAATGAAATAAAATACAAAAACTATAAAAACTTATTTGAAAAAAACACTCAAAAAAAATTTATTATGCAAAGTTGTTGGAAAAAACTAACGGCGACTCTAAAAAAACGTGGAATATAATTTAACAAATAATTGGTAAAAATAAATGTGGAAAAAATAATCTCCTACAAAAGCTTTTAATTGATGGGGAAATGATTAACGATAAAAAAAAATAGCTAAAGAACTCAACCCATATTTTCTCGAAGTAGGGCCGAACTTGGCGAGTAAAATTCCGTCAAGTACCACAAAGTTTGAATCTTATATTAAATCATGTAATTCTATTATGGAAGAATCTAATTTAAATCTAAGCGAAATAAGGAAGGCTTTCAACAGTCTTAAAAGTAATAAAAGTGCGGGCATTGATAAAATTAATGTGAATGTTGTTAAGTCAGTCTTCGATATCATTGAACCATCATTATTTCATATTTTTGATCTTTCATTAAAGCTAGGTGTTGTGCCGAAAAAACTTAAAGTTGCCATAATCACTCCCATTTTTAAATCTGGTGACGAAACTAATATTAACAACCACAGACCTATTTCCGTTTTACCCTGCTTCTCAAAATTATTGGAACGAATTATGTACAACAGACTTTACAACTATTTGATGTTAAACAGTTTGCTGTACAGTAAACAATTTGGATTTCAAAAAGATAATTCAACAAACCATGCTGTAATCGAACTAATTAATCATGTATCGGATGCATGCAATAATGACTATTTTACTCTTTGAGTTTTAATTGATCTGTCGAAAGCCTTTGACACTGTTAACCATAAGATACTTATAAAAAAAACTAGAACTTTATGGAATAAAGAATAAAAATTTACTTTGGTTTGAAGGCTACCTAGCGAACAGGTCACAATGTATTATTTATAATAAAAAAGAAAAAGAAAAACATATTACATGTGGTGTGCCCCAAAGTTCAATCTTAAGGCTATTATTATTTTTGTTGTATAAAAATGATTTATACTTAGCATCAAATATTTTAGATGTTATATTTTTTGCAGATAACTCCAATCTTTTTTATTCCAACAAAGATATAAAAGCTCTCTTTAATATAGTTAATGAAGAACTATTCAAAATAAACGGTTGGTTTACAAGCAATAGGCTTACGTTAAATTTAGAAAAAACTAAATTTATTTTATTTTCCAAACCTAGTAGGTGATGATGTTCCTCTAAAATTACCCAATCTCCTAATCAATAAAACATTTATTAAAAGGGAACCAATCGTTAATTTTCTAGGAGTAATAATAGATGAAAATTTGTCATGGAAACCACATATAAAATATATAGAAAATAAAATATCAAGAAATATTTATATATTATATAAAACTAAACTATATCTTAACACCTCTTCTCTAAAAAAAATATACTTTTCA